ACCAATCTATCAAACAAAATAACCCATTGAGGTTTAATAAAACAAAATAAACCAAACCAATCTAAACCAAAGAATACATATTCTATTCATACGAATCTATCCTAAAATGTTGTCGGCATTAAATAACCCATTGAGAGGTTGATATGCCGTAAAACAAAATAAACCAAAACAATCTAAACAAAAGAATACATATTCTATTCATACGAATCTATCCTAAAATGTTGTCGGCATTAAAAACCCATTGAGGTTGTATGCCGTAAAATTAAAACCATAGAATAATATTCCATACCAATCTATTGAAAATGTTGTCGGCATGATATGCCGTAAAACAAAATAAACCAAACCAAACTAAACCAAAGAATACATATTCTATTCATACGAATCTATCCTAAAATGTTGTCGTCATAAAATAACCCATTTAGGTTGATATGCCGTAAAACAAAATAAACCAAACCAATCTAAACAAAAGAATACATATTCTATTCATACGAATCTATCCTAAAAATCGGTCGGCATTAAATAACCCATTGAGGTTGATATGCCCAAAACAAAATAAACCAAAACAATCTAAACAAAAGAATACATATTCTATTCATACGAATCTATCCTAAAATGTTGTCGGCATTAAATAAAATTGAGGTTGATATGCCGTAAAACAAAATAAACCAAAACAATCTAAACAAAAGAATACATATTCTATTTATACAAATCTATCCTAAAAATGTTGTCGGCATTAAATAACCCATTGAGTTTTGATATGCCGTTTTACAAAAATAAACCAAACCAAACTAAACCAAAAATACATATTCTATTCATATTATCTATCCTAAAAAATGTTGTTTGAGGTTTGATATTTGTAAAAAAAAAAATAAACCAAACCAATCTAAAAAAAGAATACATTTTCTTTTTTTTTATCTATTAAATGTTGTCGGCATTAAATAACCCATTGAGGTTGATATGCCCGTAAAACAAAATAAACCAAACGAATCTAAACCAAAGAATACATATTCTATTCATAATCCTAAAAATTTGTCGGCAAACCACAAAACAAAACCAAAAAAAAAATACATGTTTTTTTTTTTTCTTATTCAGATTTTTCTACACTTAGAGCGGCTGCTAGCAATAGTTGGGTAACATACTGCTGTTTCAGCCACAGCTAGATGCAGACGTATTTACGTTTTAAATAACCCATTGAGTTTGATATGCCGTAAAACAAAATAAACCAAATGTCCTGATGACAATTCTATTGTTCTCGTTCCTTAATAATATTTCTATATTTGTTTACTCCCAGTAACACCTTGGTTGTTAGTGGCTTTATTGCATTACATTGGGTAAATTCGAATCTATGCTAAGAATTGGGTCGTAAACCGATAATTCAGGTAAAACTCATGTAGTATCATTGTAAGATATAACATCTTGAAAAAATATCAATTTATTTTTCTCCTGTTGTGAAATTTCAAATAAACATATATCTGAGTCGCTGATTTGTAGATTGTTCAGTTACATTTTTAAATGTCTGTTCAAGGTAGAAATAATATGACATGAACAGTTAAGAGAGTATGGAATCGTTGTCATGTTGATGGATTTTTAATTTAGAGTTTTAGATTTTTATTTTTCTGCTAGGTAGAATTCACTGTTTAATTCAGTGCTGCTGGCAAAATCTACGACCATAAAAAAAGACTTTAAAAAAGGAAATAAGCTTCTATCTAAAGTAAATGTTATTTTCGTGTGTGCTTTAAATTCTCTTTCATGTTTTCACGATTGCGCATCCATACAAAGCAACCACGTCCTATTTTTATTTTCATTTTAGATTTTCTCATTATATTTTTTTTTCTGTCCTAAATTTCAGCATTTTCTCATCATTGACATCATCATCAGTAGATGCACCTCCTCCATCATTCTCGTCATCTACAACACGAGCACCTCTTCCATCATCATCATCACCATCATCATAATTACTAACAAAAGCATCTTCTCCAACATCAACATCATATTTCTCTTCTGAATTATACTTCTTTGACGCGCAGTCTTTTTTGTAATATTTTTCATTCTTCTTTCTCCTGGACATATTTCTTTCAACCATCGACTCAGAATCTGCAAAGCTTCCTCTTTTTTTTTTTTTTTTTTTTTTTTTTTAAGCGTTTCACCCCAAGCAAGGCGAGAAGCCACTAGCACGCAAGGGGTTACAGAAAATTTAGAGCAAGATCAGATAGGAGTGATAGAAGAAAGGATGAGGAAAAGGGTAGTGGATAGATCAAGGCAACTGGAGATGTCGATTGACATTACATTTGAATAGCTGGAGATTATAGCTCTCAGAGAAACAGGAATAGGGAAGGGAGTTCCACAGGTGAGAGGTGCGAGATATGAAGCTATTGGCGTAGAAGAGACGGCTACAGTTAATAGTTTCGCGAGTGAAGGGGTAAGAGCGAGATGCCAGCTCCGTAGGGCGCTTGAATTCATGAAGAACCAGCGAGTGCAGCTCCTCCAGCAATTACCATGAAATTATTTGTAAAACAGACAGAGAGGCGACGGTGCGTCTGTGTGAGAGCGACTGCAGACGAGACGCCAGAGCAGGGCCAACTACACTGCATATCCGCCTCTGAAAAAAATCTTACCAGAAATAGATTTTTGATAAAAAAACATTACCAGTCAAAAACAAGTTGTCGCCATTAAATAACCCATTATGGTTGATATGCCGTAAATCAAACCAAATCAAGCAAAACCAAACCTTGCGGCTATTAGCAGGAATTTTATCAGTAAATCATTATGAAATACAAAAATTGCTTAAAATTTAAAAATATATTCTGGCTTAAAATAAACTGCAAAAGGTTGATAAGCCGTAAAAAACAAATCTACCAAAAACTTTCCATCTTGAAAGTTTGTATCTTGTTCTTGTTTCTTTTTCTTCTTCATATTTTTCCTTCTTCACATGTTTTTTTTTATTCTTCTTTACGTTTTTTTAATTCTTCGTGTTTTTCTTCATCTTCTTTACCTTTCATCTTGTCTTTATTCTTTTCTTCATTTTTCATTGCATTTCTTCTTTTACAGTTGCTCTTTCAATTCTCTTCATATTTCTTCTGCTTTCAATTTCTTACAATTTATAGCTGTTTCCCTGATATTCAGAATCTTTGTTTCTATGCTTTTCTTCTTCTTTTTTTCTTCTTCTTCTCTTTCTTCATCTTCGTCTCCTCCTCCTCCCTTTTCTTCTTCCTCATCTTCTCCTCATTCTCCTTCTTCTTCTCTTTCTCCTTCTCCTACTCCTCTTCCTCCTTCTCCACCTCCCTTTTCTTCTTCTTCATCTTCTCCTCATTCTCCTTCTTCTTCTCTTTCTTCTTCTTCGTCTCCTTCTCCTACTCCTCTTCCTACTTCTCCACCTCCCTTTTCTTCTTCTTCATCTTCTCCTCATTCTCATTCTTCTTCTCTTTCTTCTTCTTCGTCTCCTTCTCCTTTTCCTCTTCCTCCTTCTCCACCTCCCTTTTCTTCTTCTTCATCTTCTCCTCATTCTCATTCTTCTTCTCTTTCTTCTTCTTCGTCTCCTTCTCCTTCTCCTCTTCCTCCTTCTCCACGACGTTTTTCTTCTTCTTCATCTTCTCTTCATTCTCATTCTTTTTCTCTTTCTTCTTCTTCGTCTCCTTCTCCTTTCCTCTCTTCCTTCTCCACCTCCCTTTTTCTTCTTCTTCATCTTCTCTTCATTCTCATTCTTTTTTCTTCTTCTTCTTCTTCTTTTCTCTTCCTCTTCCTCCTTCTCCACCTCCTTTTTCTTCTTCTTCATCTTCTTCTCATTCTCATTCTTCTTCTCTTTCTTCTTCTTCGTCTCCTTCTCCTCTCATCCTTCTCCACCTCCCTTTCTTCTTCTTCTTCTTCTCATTCTCATTCTTCTTCTCTTTCTTCTTCTTCGTCTCCTTCTCCTACTCCTCTTCCTCCTTCTCCACCTCCCTTTTCTTCTTCTTCATCTTCTCCTCATTCTCCTTCTTCTTCTCCTCATTCTTGTTCTTGTTATTCCTGTTGTTGTTGTTCTTCTTCCTCTTCTTCCTCTTCTTCATCATCATCATTTTCTTCTTCTTCTACGTCTACACATTCTTCTTCTTCTTCTTCTTCTTCTTCTATATATTTCATTCCTATGATTTACTTTTTAATTTCTTACAAGGTACATATCTCTTTCCCTTCGCTAAAAATTCATGTATCAATGCTTCTTCTTTTTCTTTTTTTTTCATTCATTCATTCGTTCTTATTATTCTACTTCACACATTTCTTCTACGTGTGACTCATTCATAACTTACATCGGCCGTATCTCCATCCATTCGATTAAGACGTTATCACGTTTCATGAGTCCTTCTTCTTCTTCTTCTTCTTCTTCTTCGTTTTCTCTTCAAATTATTATTATTATTATTATTATCATTATTATTGTTGTTGTTGTTATAAATTTTTTCCTTCACCGATTCCTCATTTGCCTTTTCTCGTGTCTTTCCTCCACGTTTTTTTTAATCGCTTTTCGCTTTCTAATTCGGTTCGTTTCGATTCCTCGACCCTGACAAATTTAGCTTCACCAAATTCAATAAAGCTTTCACCAAATCAGTCCAAAGCAAACGAAAGCGGTCCAAATCTACACCCACTCACATACATCTCACTTGGAGGGGCAATTTTTTTTGTGTGTCCTGAGAAAAATTGTTAATATAAAATATATTTGTAACCTGCATACACCAATAGAGATAGAAAAGTACATACTGAATATATATATATATATATATATATATATATATATAAATAAGTGTGTGCGTGTGTGTAATTGAAATTCAAATTATTGAAGATATATTCTCTCAGACATTACTAAGAAAGATTTTGTTTTCTTTGATAATTCTAAAGAGATTTAAAGAAAAACACATAGATAGATATAAATATACTGAGATAGAAAATTTGATTGATAGATATGAATATATTGAGATAGATAGATAAATATGAATATACTGAGATAGATATGAATATATTGATTTAGACAGATATTAATATGTTGAGATAGATATTAATATACTGAGATAGATATAGATATTAATATACTGAGATAGAAAGATAGATAGATATGAATATACTGAGATAGAAAGATAGATAGATATGAATATACTGAGATAGAAAGATAGATAGATAGATAGATATGAATATACGGAGATAGAAACATAGATAGATATAAATATACTGAGATAGATAGATAGATAGATATGAATATACTGAGATAGAAAGATAGATAGATATGAATATACTGAGATAGAAAGATAGATAGATAGATAGATATATACTGAGATAGAAAGATAGATAGATAGATATAAATATACTGAGATAGAAAGATAGATAGATAGATATGAATATACTGAGATAGAAAGATGAGATAGATAGATAGATATGAATATACTGAGATAGAAAGATAGATGAATGAAGATATGAATATACTGAGATAGAAAGATAGATAGATAGAATATATGAATATACTGAGATAGAAAGATAGATAGATAGATATATGAATATACTGAGATAGAAAGATAGATAGATAGATATGAATATACTGAGATAGAAAGATAGATAGATAGATATGAATATACTGAGATAGAAAGATAGATAGATAGATATGAATATACTGAGATAGAAAGATAGATAGATAGATATGAATATACTGAGATAGAAAAGATAGATAGATAGATATGAATATACTGAGATAGAAAGATAGATAGATAGATAAGTAGATAGATATACTGAGATAGAAAGATAGATAGATAGATATGAATATACTGAGATAGAAAGATAGATAGATAGATATGAATATACTGAGATAGAAAGATAGATAGATAGATATGAATATACTGAGATAGAAAGATAGATAGATAGATACTTTTACGAAATTATTGTAGTCGGGGTGTCAATAAAGAAAACCAAAGTTGGCATCATAAAAGAATACGCAGAAAAATACGAAGAAAGAAAATATTTACCGTATTTTCTTCTACACTGGCTGCAAGCGAAGGCGTGATATTCCAGTCTGCCCGACTGCTTACCGTATTTTTCCGGCTTGCAAGACGCACCCTAAAATTATAAAGAAATTTCTAAAAAAGAAATTCATTCACTATACGTTCCTCGCATACTGGCGCCGCGTATTGTTTACATTAATCCCTCCAATTTTTTTTTCTATGGCAATGACATATTAGTCAAGAGCCAAAAGATCCCCGCCGCTGCTAGTAAACAGAGCATGTGGCTCGGCTCCAGGAAGGTTTATGATCTTGAAATTACTGGTAACAGCTAAGTACTGAGGTTACATCATATAAAAGGTTGACGCACATAGATAGCTAATATTATAGTATGATGACTCAACATCCAAATCCACGTCCCTATCTGTCAAGCCAATAAGGTTCCCGTCCAAGCTTACTTGAGTCTGAGCGTTGCCTTACATTCGTCTTGGAAGACGCACACGTATTTTTCAGAATATTTTTTAGGAAAATTTTGCGTCTTGTAAACCGGAAAATACGGTAATTTATAATAAAGTTCTTCTTCATCACGGGTTCCTTTCAAATGTTTGGCGATCACTGCTCGTCATAATTTCTTGTACTTTGTAGATCTTAGTAAATTTTGTCGCTGAGTGATCCCTTTCATTTGACAAGCTGCTTAGGAAGGCCATAGGTTGCTTGTCTCTATTCCTCATGGCTTCAATCTCTCCTGCGAGTATCCAATTTTCCAAGTCTTCCTTTCTCTTTATGTAACCTAGAAACTTCAATTAGCTCTTTTTGATGTTAAGTATAAGTGTCCTTTTTTATTCCTTTTTTCTTTATATCTTCGACGTTGCTCATTGTCCAGTCCATGGTATTCTCAGCATCTGTATAAACATATTCTGCTGTCTCAAGTCTCTGCTTCTTCTGCGATTAGATCCTCCGACATTCACTATATATTTATACCGACTGCAACCAGGATAAGGCAGTCAGTGTAAACTTCACGATCTTTTCTTGAGCTGCGAGGCATTTGCTTCGCCAGGGCTACATACGTTTTTTGAATTCAGAGTTGTCTTCCTCGGGGACTTTAACTATTACTTGACCTAAGTAAGCACAAAAGTTCCTTAGTTTTATTTAAACACATTAAACATATTTATTTTTATAATATAGGTTGCTAACATCACTCAGTCTTTGTGGGTGACAGGATATTTATATAAGCGACACAAATCCGTGATGACAGCTATAGACTAATTTACTTCTGATGGTAATTATGGCCATGGGTAATAATCTTTTTGTAAAACAATTTATTTTTACGAATTTTTTGGTTGTTGATACATTTAACTCTTTGAATCATGCGTTCCTGAACAATTTTAACCCTTCTGCTTGAGTTGCTGAGTCAAAATTCGCAAATAATTGGTATGTAATGTTTCACGGTAGATATAAAAATAGTTACAAAAAATATAACTTCCCGATTGCTTATCTGACGGTCCAGTTTAAGAGTCTGCACGCTTCATGGTAAAAATGATCTTTTTTTATCCAAAGCACAAAACACAATGAAAAAGCTCTGACATGTTGGTATAACGTTCGATGTCATTAGAATATTACGGCTTTTCTGATTGGTTCTTCAAAATTAGTCGACCAATAGCAAAACACGACGTTAGTGTTTACCCACCGTTCAACCATTGGCTGGGCATTACGTCATTTTTCTCTTACACCGGTAAAGCAGTGGTCAGATCTCAAAGGGTTAAACAAATAATTTCGCCTGTCGTCTGGTTCAATCTCCTCCTCGATCTTTTGTTTATCTTTATGACATTTATTATTTGTTTCCTGTTTAGAAGTACGTTTCCGGTTCCTCGTAAAGTCATTTTATTACATTTCACTCATATTAGCTCTTTGCGTCTTAGTTGCATTATCGCCTTGCTTGGAGTGAATTGATTTTTTTAAAAAGATAAACAATCAGTGATTTTAAAAAAAGTTAATTATGGAAGACATTGTGTCACATGCTGCGAAATATTGATTAAAATGAAGTAAGAAAAAACTCGAAGCATTTAGTATTTATTAGTCTCAAATTATGAAATATTGAAAAAAAAATACCTTATAGACAAATAAATCATCGGAGCAATCAGAAAAAAGATTGCATGCAGACAATAATCAATGAACGGCATATTGTATAAAATTAATCTGAATATATATATATATATACAGACACCCACACACACACACACACACATATATATATATATATATATATATATATATATATATGTGTGTGTGTGCATAGTGTATTGGCGCAGAAGATCATTAATCAAACATATATTGCTACATATAACAGACAACGAATGTCTATTATGTTTGTTCTAAGCTTCGTATAATTGCTTTAATATCGGGACAAAATCAAGAGAAAAACTGTCCACCATTTGAATATTTTTAATGATGTTGTTCCTCGATCTAAGGTTTCGGTTCCCATGAGCCATCATCAGTGTGGTTATATGGAAATTTCGACAAAGATATTCACCATTAACGATTATATCCTGTTAGCTTCGCTATTCTATTCCTTGACATTTATCGTCGCACAACAAAATTCTATATAAACATAACGGGATATAATCTTTTTGCTGGTGAATATCTTTGTTGAAATGTTCATATAAAACTCAGATGAGGGCAACGAAGCTTAGAACGGCTCATGATCAAACATAATAAACATTCGTTGTCTGTTATATCTAGCAATATATGTTTAAATACACACACAAACATATATATATATATATATATATATATTAATCCTATCATCCCATGCAAAGCGAAAACACCACTAGTACACAGGCCGTTACAGGGTATGAAAGTGAAAGTGGGAGAACAAATGGAGTACAGGAAGGATTGAGTAAAAGACAACGTGATTCCGGAAGACAGAAGATGTAGCATTTAATTTTGTGAAGATTGTAGTTATCAGGGAAGCATGTAAATGGAAGGGAGTTCCACAGGCGGTAAATTAGGGATATAAAACTGCTATAGCAGTTTCATTTATCTATTTAAAAATGAAAACGGTGAGACCAAGACTGGTTGCCAACCAAGGCTGAAGAGCCGAGTCTACTCTACTAATTAACGCAGTGTTTCTCAACGTTTATTGCCCAGAACTCCAGTGTTCGACAAGAATTCACTAGGAGTTCAGGTTAATAAATAGACGTTGTAACTGAGTTATTTAAAACAGCAGTAGAGAACCGGAATTGGTTTAACAAGTGCATTACCTTTTGGCAGACAGAAAAAATAATTTACAATAGAGACAACGGAAGAGAATGTTTAGCCGTCTGTGACTATTTTCAGCAAAAACTATTGCTCCTCCTGATACTCCTCTTGATGTAGAAGTATTGCTAAATTTTCGTTTTCTTTCCCAAGCACTAATATCCCTTAAAATTTTTCCAAAATCGTCATAATTCCGTGGAAATGTACATGCTGAACTCGAATTAACAATTAAATTATGAAGAAACTTTCATAATTTTGGAGTTATCGACAAGAAAAAATCGATCTTCTTGTTGGTCATTCGCCACCCCCATTATTTCCATCATGATTACTAATTCACTGCGTAGTACCTACGCAGGCGTAATAAAAAAATTGGCCTATTTACTTCTTTTACAGATTTTCCTTCCAGAAAATCACTACGCACTACCGTCAAGAAATGTAATTTTTTTTTTTTTTTTGCTATTCAAAACGGAAAAAAGTTATGTTGTATTATTTAATTTGTTTTTGTTATAAATAAAATTATGTTTACCAAAAACAAAAAATATTCTATTTTATGTGAGGTGTCCACATCAGGACGTGGGCGATCATGACCCTTCACATCATCCTCTCCCTTGTAGCTCTTAATACGTTTATTTTTATTTTTCTTATTTCTACCAAACACTGATTTACAAGACCTCCTTCATCATTATGTGCCCCAGAAATTTCAACTGAGTCTTTCTGGTGATATTTATATATTTCTTATTTGTTTCCATTTTCTCTAAAGCCTTGCCTTTTGTTCGGCTCATTGTATCCTCAGCATCTTTCTGTAGAATCATTTCTGTAGCTTCAAGTCAATACAGGAGACAGAGATCACGTAATAGTTCAGGACAATTTTCTTTATTTCCAACGAAATTTTCCTGTCTCTTATTACTCTGCTTAGCTTTAGGGATGCATCTTTGGCCATCCCTCAGCGTCTTCGGATCTCAGTGTAGCACTTTCCGTCCTCCGCTAGAACTCATTCCTAGATATTTACATTGCATATCACGTAATAGTTCAGTACAATTTTCTTTGTTTCCAATGGAAATTTCCTGTCTCTTATTACTCTGATTAGCTTTTGGAATGCTTCTTTGGCCATCCCTCAACGTATTCGGATCTCAGTGTCGCACTTTCAATCCTCTGTTAGAACACATCCCAGATATTTACATTTCTGTTCTTGCTTGATTTTATTATCACCACCCTGTAATGTTGTATATTGATCTCATGATCACGCAATCTGTCTTCTTGTAGTTTATTTTTATTTATTTCTTCTTGCTTTCCTCACTACCTACTGTAAGAGATATTGTGGTTTCTTTTCCGTGTCTGCTATCAGCACTGTGTCTTCTAAGAGTTAAAAAAAAATAGAAGGAAAAAGTTGAAGGAAAAAGAAATTTTCATTTTACTGTCGATAAAATAAGCCCGCAAATTTATTCCAATAAACAGCTAGAAAATAAAAAAATAAAAAAAAAAAACATTCATATCGAGACTAGACAAGCCGAAAGCAATGTCAGCGCCGTTATTTTTACTTCTACCAAATTTCCCGCCAATTGGACACGGATTTCACAAACCTTTTCGATATGACGAAAGAGAATTTAGCACTGAAGAGAACCTAATACAATTCACCTGCTAATGATGTGTCATTACGAGTGAATTAAATAAACTGTGTTTGTTTTTTTTTTTATGCTTATTCATTCTTGTTTTTCTTTATTTTCATAGAGTTATTTTGGCGGGACGAAGATTAAAAACATGGAGGTATGCCGTCGATGTTTTTATTTCATTTAGATCGTTGTGGTGTTATTTATTTATTTTTTGCGAAAATATTATGGACAACGCAATGATCAGAGGGTGAAAAAAAAAAACAAAAAAGCAAACAAATTCCAGGCGATCTTGTCTTGCAAATTAACTAGGCAAGCTAATGCGAAATTACGTTAACACATTTCACTTCGATAATTTACCGTTTTTTCTACCGAACAGAAATAGGTATTTGAATGAAAAAAGTACATCGGTGAAGATAAGACTAGGTTTTTCTGTATATATTCTCTGAGATGAGATATTATGATTATTTATATTATTTACATTATTCAGACTATCATCATCATCTTCAATGCCATTTCGGCTGTTCTACGCTCCGGCCTTTATGTCATATTCTTCTATATATATATATCTGCGATGAGCTATTATGATTACATACATTTTTCAAACTCTTATCCTTATCTCCATTGCCATATTCATAAAGTTTCGGCTGTTGTACGCTCCGACCTTTATGACATATTTCTCTGTCTATATCTCTGAGATGTGGTATTATGATTACTTGCATTAGTTACATTATTTGAACTGTTGTCCTTTGGCGTTGGTTGCTATATTCACAACGTTTTGGCCATTGTAAAACAACCTTTGTCATATTTCTCTCTATATATATCTCTGTCTATATCTCTAGATGATATTATGATTTCTCAATTTTTACATTATTCAACTGTTATCCTCATCTTCATAACACTTGGCCGTTGTACATTCCGGCCTCTAGTCATATTTCTCTCTCACTATTATATATATATATATATATATATATATCTTCTATTCTTCTCTGAGATGAGTTATTATGATTATTTTTTATTCTTCAAAACTTATTAACATCTTCATTGCAACATTCATAACCCATCGGCCTTGATATACCATTCAAAAATTAATTCTTTATTTTTTATATATATATCAATGTCCCTATCTCTGAGATGAGGTACTATGATTACAGACATTATTCGGACTGTTATTTTCATCTTCAATGCCATATTCACAACGTTTCGGCATTGTACAAATCCTTTTCAACATATTTTTTTTATCTATATCTCGATTATCGAGGTATTTCGATTATTGAACAACATTGCCGAACTGATCCTCATAACTGAATAATTTCCACAACGTTTCGATTTATTCGTTTGTGTTGGATTTTTATCAATTGAAATTTCGAACTGAACCCTTTATTTCTTTACGAGGTATTCCTATTGTAAAAATAAATCAGCGATATATTTAGGATTAGTGGATAAAGGTGTTAGTTAGATTCAGTGACTTTACCCAAAGAGTTGTGAGTTCAAGTTCAGTTTACAGTAGTGGTTAAACAAAAAACTTTGAGAGTTGAGTTAAAGGGCGAAGTATGACAGGTGGAAAAAGAACAGTCTAACATGTTGGACGAAATAAACTCTTCGAAATTCCAATCACCTGAAGAAGGCTGGAGCGTACTACAACCGAAACGTTGTGAATATTGCAACGAAGATGAGGATAAGAATACGCCTAATGAAAATAATATAAACTAACGTTTTTGGAAAAATCCGATAAATTCAAAATTTTTTAATTTCTCTTTCAATGGTGTAAAATTTCAGATTAACCATTTTTAATATACCGGGGTATGTGAAGACGATGAGACAAAGTAGAAAATTTATTGCTCGTTTCGCCGACAGCGTCCGCTCTCTTTGGCATCGTCGGGTTAGAAAGAGAGAAACTATATGCGAGGAAAAATACCTTGAGAATTCTGAGGTTATTTGGTGACCATAAATCACATGAAATTACATATATTATTGTATATATATATTGGATTTTTTTCTTGTTCCATCCGGAGAAAACCAAAAATTTTTAATTATAGGTGAAATGCGCCGTTAATAAATCTTCCACTATAATATCAATTTTGTATCGAATGCTATTATGATTCCACCGAACGCACATCACTGGTGTATGTAAACTCGCGAGTATAGAAAATTATTTATAATTAATTAAACTGAGGCTTGTAGAATGAACGCGCAAAAATTGTTCGTTCACCCCAAAAATAATCAATTTTCAATCATTTTCAGAAAAATCAATAGAAATCCAATAGTTAGGATTACTAATATAAAAGCCAAGGTTTCGTAATAAAATTGAGAGCTCT